CGCCGCGGCCGGGCTCGCGCACACAATGGAACATGGGGGGGCGCAAGGCTGGGGGGCGGTCACGAGGCGCCGGCGGCCACTCAGCGCGCGCCGTGCGCCACTCCCTTCCGCAAACTCCCTCCGCCCCGCCCCTTCCTTAAAGGGGAAGGAGAAGGAGAGGCCAAAGCCCCTCCTAGCCTCCCTGTGCTCGGCTTTTCTGTTTCTGTCGGCCGAAGAGCGCTCTGGTGCTTGGGGCAGGCCCGTTGTCATGCCGGGGCTGTCAGGCAGGGGGTGACTGCGCCGCCTGCAGGGGGACCACGGAGCCCTGGCGCCTAGCAGCCCGTCAGAGCTCCCTTCAGGCTGCGCAGCCCGCCAGTGTGGAGGGGCGCCTTGTACGAGCCAGCAGGGCTGGGCCCGGGCTCCACGCGTGGTTCTACGCACGCAGGGGCGGTACCAACCCGGTGGGGTTTTGGGGTCCGTCTGCAGCGCCCTGCACACGCTGCGTCGCCCCGTCCTGCGTCCCCCGCAGCCGTAGAATGCCAAGCCCGGCAGGAACGGCCTGGCAGAAAGTGCCCTCGCTCGCTGCTCCAAGAGAGGCGGTTTTGCTCACTTCAGATCTTTTGTGGGCTGAGGTGCTTCGAGCTTGGTGCTAATAACGCCAAGGTCCCAGTTTGTGCCCTGTACGGACGCTCTAGGGACCCTTTCCTTTCTTGCCCAAGCGCAGGGAGGGCCAACCCCATGATCCGTAAGGTCCCTTCCAGCCCCCAACAACTATGCAACTATCAAATGATTGCCAAGACCTCCGGTTTTGGGCCTGTACGTAGGATGCCTGCCAATGGATGTGGGCAGATCTGAAGTTCCTGGGATGGAGGATGCTCTCAGTTGCAGCACCATACATGGTGCTGCGAATGATTGAGTTCTGCCTGCTCAGTCCATGCGGGGTTTGGTACAATTGAGTTCTGCTTGGTTGATATGATTTGGAACCGATTCGGCTGATTTGACCTGGAACACGAAATATATTAATTAAAAAAAGAAAGATGTGTTTAAGATAACAGTCCATCCTTGGAGGTGGGCAAGGGGTGTTTAGATTTTGTTCTGTGGCCCCTACCATTTTCCCAGCAGCGGTGTCAGGCTGATTTTTCATGCTCCCCACAAGGGCAGAGGTGGCCTCCACAAGTGTTGAGAGCCATTTCTTTATTCCTGGTCACTCATCTGATGTGCTGCATTATCAACGTAAATGCACTGCCCATCCACACGGTTTAACCCCTTGACCCCAAGCCTGCAACTTGTTCTGTGCAGGCAGAGCCAGGCACCTGTGTACGGCTGTACCGAGTTAAGCGGGGTACTACATGAGCACAGGACTCCACCCAGGCCAAGCAAGTTGTAGGCTCTGTTCTGAAGAAGGCAGGGTAGTTTTGCACCTTCTAAATTAGCCAAAGTAGGTGTATCTATATAGATATAGATCTAGATAGCACAAGATTTCCTGGTCTGAAACTCACTTCATCAGATGCTGTGAAAGGACAAGGTTGAAGGACAAATCAGAATATATCCCAAGACACCGAAGGGGAAGAAGGGGAAACTGTTTTTGTTAAATAAAAATAGGAGCAGTGACAACATATTCACAGGTGGATTAGTATTAAAAGGCCTGCTGAACTTGAGCTGCTTTTTCAAGAGGCATTTCAATAAATAAAGCACATAACTCAGTGAGATAGGAAGTTATTGCAACTTTACACCACCATTACAAAAAAATTGAAATATTACAGATGTGTAATCATAACTAAAAGGTTTGTATCAGTATTACACAGCATATTTAATATATACTCACATCTCTTCCCCATATAGGCTTAACTTACAGCAGATCTCTTATGCTAACCTAAGAGATGCATAATATTTAATAACAATCAAAACTACAGAGACTTTTTACAGATTAAGGAGGATGGACCATTGACTGGTCAAGAGTTCCTCGGAGCTTCAACACATCAGTCATTCTTGTACAGGAAATGCTGTTGGCCAAGGTTTCTGTTTTGTTTTTGGTGCTATTGCAAGATAAAAATGGAAATGAGGCGTAGATATGTGTACGTGTTTAATGGAAAATAAGGTTTTATTTTATGTGAATAAGATATTCATAAATGGATGCCCCGTACATTAACCGGTTAATTAATCGTATCAGTCATTTCTTTCAGCATTACATTTATTTTCAGTGCATTAGCACTCTGCAGATATTTTATATCAATTTGGGAAGGTGCTTGCAGTTCTATTCTGTACCCTCCTCCTGATAGTTTAGCAAGAGCTGTGAGATCTCTAAGGCAGAACGTTCTAGGCCTTTCCCCCTTCATACTGCCCACATTCACCTACTCAGAATTGCACATCTACAGATGCGCATTGCAAGAATTACACCTTGAATTTGAAGAGACCCAGTTGTAAGTGACAGAGTTGATTTCAGCAAAAGAAAAGATACAGGCAGATTTAGACTTCCACTAACTAACCTGTTAGTTTCCTTACATACAGACTTGATAGTTGGCATAGCACCAAATGGACTATGTTAGGGGTGCCCAACACAGCCTTTTTTGATGGCCAGTTGCAAGGCACAGTTTCCAGTGGAGGGGGGATCTGCTTTGATCAGATGTGAGCCCTCAGCATGTTTAGATGCAAGAAACTGACCATAAATGCAGACGCATGCACTAATTCATGAATTGTCACTGAGCAGGGACACAGGACTCTACTTTGTTTTCAGATCCTCTCTTTTAATAAAGTGATTTAATAAAGAATTATGTCAGGTTACTGGGATTGCCTTGGAGGGCTACAGGGGACTCACAGTCCTTACGTTGTACACACCTGAATTATGCAAATGGAGTTTTGTTCCAACTCTTCCAAGATTATTTATAGAATGTGTACAGATATATTTATTTCCTCTGAGATAAAGCTTTGGGATGGAGGAAGATTTCATTTTCTTTTAAAGAACAAAGTCTTGGTAAATATTGAAGTTGTAGCAAAATAAGTGTTTTGAAAATAAATTGTTATAGTTGCAGAGTTAAACACCAAAAATAAAGGCATAACTTGAATCACTACATATCAATCTCACTTGTTTATTTTTATTTATTCATTATCTCTTATTCCTACAAATAAGGCCTAAGATTCCTATAACAAACAAAATAGAGAAAAGAAAAACATGTTCTTTATTTCTTCCTGTTATTTAGTTTGTCACCATTGGGCTGCACTTCGAGTGCACTCCATTTCACTGTTTCCCTTGATCCTTTAAACAGCAAGGGGGCAATACAAATATTTTTGTAAGAGAAGGTGATTGTAAAACCACAAGACAATGGTGAGAGGACTCAAGAATAGGTGTGGTACTCAAGACTAATTTTAATTCTTTTAAGTTGACCAAGACTCTTAAATGTTAAATTGTGGCTTCATTTGATCAAGGGAAATCAAGTTTCCAGATTCTTCAGCATCTCATGATCATGCTGCTTTTGCTAAGGAATTGCTGCCAGATTCCTAAAAGGTACCTAGGTGCAGAAAAGTTCCTGAAGACCCTTAAAATGGGGGCCTTACTGAACTCAATCAAAGAGAAGAAAAAGTTTTGAGCCACCAATTCCTGCCCAGGGCCTAAATCCTGCTAAGAAAACATGCATGCTTAGTGAGTAGTCACACTGAAACCTCCCTTTACTATTCCCAGTTTTAAAGTTAAGCACATATAAATTGCTTGCAGGATCAGGGCCAGAGAGAGACAAATGTGGAGTTGTCATTCCCCAAAATACTAGATTCCTCAACTGAACAATTAGGAAAATGGCATGATAACTTGTTTCTTTTCCTTCAATTTCTGGTTCTCCACCTTGCCTTCCAGTAGGACAATGATTCTTAACAAGGATGATGTAGCACCCTGGGATGCCATGATATACTTTTAAGGGTGCTCTGCAATATTAGCACTGTTACATGTGAAAATATCTACATGAGAGGCAAGGATTTTTGTGAATGATATCTTTTAGTATATCAGCTACATGGCTGAGAAAAACTTAGACAAGCATTTCAAATGCAAGATACGTTTCTTCAGGTGACCAGGTCTTGTTATCATGGCTAAAACAACTATCCAACCACCTGTGCATGATAAATCCAAAGGCCACATTTAGATGAGGGGATATCCAGGGGTCAAAAAATCCTGCAGAAAAAAAAGCAGAGCGGCACACGCAGGGGCAGCATGCATCGTTCAGAACTGGAGTCTGGCCGGCTGGAGTCACGCTGCAGCTGCCAGCCACGCTCTGTGCGACAGGATTGCCACTGTTGCAGCCCAGGAAGGCCCCTAGGACCTGAGGTAAGGCTGCTGGGGCCAGCCCACTGCTAGCCCCAACCTCCGCTGCCCCACCCGGGGTAACTTGCTGCGTGCCAGAGGGCACATGGCACCGGCATTCCCTGGGAACAACTAGCGATGACACAAGGTACCGCCACTAGTTGTCCCCAGGGAACCAAGCAGCCATGCACATGTGGATGTGTCCAAAGATTTCAAATAGAAATACAAAGTGTCAAACACATTCTGACCTATTGTGGTCTTTCTGAGTTCTTTGCAAGAGAAGAATTGCTTTATTATTTTTCTGCAGTAGAACAAGAGCTGGCATCTTCTGAGTGGCTTCTCAAGACTAAAATGGTAGAAAACAGCTCTAGGAATTCTTTGGAGTGGGAACTGCCCCTTCTTGGTTATTTGGGAAATGTGTAG